TCCAATGAATACCAAGGACTTATCTCCTTCAGGATGGACTGGTTGGAAGTCCTTGCAGTCCAAGGGACTCTCAAGAGTCTTCTCTAACACTACAGTTCAAAAGCATCAGTTTTTCGGCGCTCAGTTTTCTTCACAGTCCAACTCTCACATCCATACATGACCACTGGAAAAACCATAGCCTTGACCAGATGGACCTTTGTTGGCAAAGTAATGTCTCTGCTTTTTAATATGCTGTCTAGGTTGGTCATAACTTTCCTTCCAAGGAGTAAGTGTCTTTTAATTTCATGGCTGCAGTCACCATCTGCAGTGATTTTTGAGCCCCCAAAAATAAAGTCTGACACTGTTTCCACTGTTTCCCCATCTATTTGCCATGAAAAGATGGGACCAGATGCCATGATCTTCGTTTTTTGAATGTTAAGCTTTAAGCCAACTTTTTCACTCTCCTTTTTCAATTTCATCAAGAGGCTTTTTAGTTCCTCTTCACTTTCTGCCATAAGGGTGGTGTCATCTGCATATCTGAGGTTATTGATATTTCTCCCAGCAATCTTGATCCCAGCTTGTGTTTCTTCCAGCCCAGCGTTTCTCATGATGTACTCTGCATCTAAGTTAAATAAGCAGGGTGACAATATACAGCCTTAACGTACTCCTTTTCGGGTTTGGAACCAGTCTGTTGTTCCATGTCCAGTTCTAACTGTTGTTTCCTGACTTGCATACAGGTTTCTCAAGAGGCAGGTCAGGTGGTCTGGTATTTCCATCTCCTTCAGAATTTTCCACAGTTTATTGTGATCCACACAGTCAAAGGCTTTGGCATAGTCAATAAAGCAGAAATAGATGTTTTTCTGAAACTCTCTTCCTTTTTCGATGATCCAGTGGATGTTGGCAATTTGATCTCTGGTTCCTCTGCCTTTTCTAAAACCAGCTTGAACATCTGGAAGTTCTCGGTTCACGTATTGCTGAAGCCTGGCTTGGAGAATTTTGAGCATTACCTTACTAGCATGTGAGATGAGTGCAATTGTGCAGTAGTTTGAGCATTCTTTGGGATTACCTTTCTTAGGGATTTGAATGAAAACTGACCTTTTCCAGTTTTGTGGCACTGCTGAGTTTTCCAAATTTGCTGGCATATTGAGTGCAGCACTTTCACAGCATCATCTTTCAGGATTTGAAATAGCTCAACTGGAATTTCATCACATCCACTAGCTTTGTTCGTAGTGATGCTTTCTAAGTCCCGCTTGACTGCACACTCCAGGATGTCTGGCTCTAGGTGAGTGATCACACCATTGTGATTATCTGGGTCGTGAAGATCTTTTTTGTACAGTTCTTTTGTGTATTCTTGCCACCTCTTCTTAATATCTTCTGCTTCTGTTAGGTCCATACCATTTCTGTCCTTTATTGAGCCCATTTTTGCATGAAATTATTTACTGTGAGGCTCAGGCATAAAATCTTTTATTAGAGAAGTCATGATTATGTACAGATGTGTATAATTTTGATATGATATTCAAATGCTTGTTTTCTCTTCTAGTTGCTAAGTTAATTATTCACTTAATGAACAGCTGAACTGAACTGTAGCCTAAATGCAGACTCTGGTTAACAATTCTTCTTTTTAATTGAGGACAATGACATATGTATTGGTTTTAGGTATACAGTATAATGCTTTGATATATGCATATATTGCAAAGTGATTGCCACAGTAGTCTGGTTAACATCCATCACCATATGCTTAGAATGTTTTTCTTGTGATGAGAACTTTTAGGATCTGTTCTCTTAACAACTTTCAAATATACAATATAGTATTGTTAATTATAGCAATTATTCCCAGGATTTATTTATCTGAGTGGAAGTTTATACATTTTAATTGCCTCCACTTCTTTCACCCACCCCCTGCTCTCTGCCTCTGGCACCACCAATCTGTTTCCTGTATCAGCTTCCCTGTCCTTCACCATCTCCTGGAGTTTGCTCAAACTCATGTCCATTGAGTCGATGATACCATCTTACCATTTCATCCTCTGTCGTCCCCTTATCCTCCTGCTCTCAATCTTTCCCAGCATCAGGTCCTTTTCCAATGAGTCGGTTCTTTGCATAAAGTGGCCAAAGTATTGGAGCTTCAGCTTCAGCATCAATCCTTTCAACGAATCTTCAGGATTGATTTCCTTTAGGATTGGCTGGCTTGATCTCCTTGCTGTTCAAGGGACAATCATAACATAAACCATGAAAACGAAATACAAGCAATAATATTGGAAAGGAAGAGACAAAAGATAATTTTCAGATAATATTATTGTAAAACTAGGAAAGTCAAAGCAACTTGTCAAAAAAGTTTTAAATAATTTTGAGTATCAAGATAATTAAATAATTCTTATTAAAATAATGAAAAAGCAGCTGGACACAAAATATGACCTGCATATCAACAATAACTGATCAGAATACATACTATTATAGATATTACTTATAATCATTATCTATATGTTTCCTACATTAAAAAGCAGAGACATTACTTTGTCAACAAAGGTCCTTCTAGTCAAGGCTATGGTTTTTCCAGTGGTCATTTTGAACTGTGGTGTTGGAGAAGACTCTTGAGAGTCCCTTGGACTGCAAGAAGATCCAACCAGTCCATCCTAAGGGATATCGGTCCTGGGTATTCATTGGAAGGACTGATGCTGAAGCTGAAACTCCAATATTTTGGCCACCTGATGTGAACAGCTGACTCATTTGAAAAGACCCTGATTTTGGGAAAGATTGAAGGCAGGAGGATAAGGGGACGACAGAGGATGAGATGGTTAGATGGCATCACCGACTCAATGGATATGAGTTTGGGTAAACTCCGGGAGTTGGTGATGGACAGGGAGGCCTTACGTGCTGTGGTTCATGGGGTCGCAGAGTCGGACACAGCTGAGTGACTGAACTGAACTTCCTACATAATGTAAAATAAATTTATTAAGAATAACAACAAATGTTAAAAATGCTTACAAAGTAGCTTAATTTAGTGAACTTTGACTTAAAGTTTTACTGAGAAATTTAAAAAAGGAATCACAAATAAATGAAACTATGATATTCTTGAATGAGAGACTATGATAAAGATGTCAGTTTCTCTCAAACTTAAGAGATTTTCATAATCCCATTGAAAAAAATCCAAATAGTAATTTTAATAAACATTATTATAAAATTCAGCTGGAAAATTACCAGGAGTATTAATCAAAGAATTTTGTGAAAAATGAAGTATACTGAAATGGTTAGCCCTAATGGCCAAATATCAAAACATGTTAAAGCAACAATAATTAAAATAACATACCTCTGGACCCAAACTAGACAATTATTTTAATTGAAAAGAGTCCAGAAATATTCTATTTCTTATAAGAATTTAATAGAAGAGCTATCAGGAGTCAATAAGAAAGGTTGGTATTATGTAGAAAATTATATTGGATAATTAAATACTAATTTTGATAAAAGTACTGGTAGATCATTATTGCAATGGCTCCCACAGAATCATGTCTCCCTGTTTCTACATCCTTGTGTATCTAGGTATGGACATACCACAAAATTTTGGGTGGTTTGTTATACAGCAATTGACAATATCTTATAAAATCTTATAGAATATACTAAAATATATTCCAGAGAGTTGAAGAGTTAAATATAAAATTAAAAGAAAACAAAACTTTTGATTTGAGACCTATATGAACTTGAAGCATTCAGGTACAAGACATGCTGGGCATGTGCTAACTTTCTTATCTTCATCAGGGAAAGCCTGAAATCTGATTTGAGCCTGACCTTAAAGATCATATATAGTGCAAAAGCAAAAGAAACAAAATAGAAAGAGAGACAAGATACTGGGAAAAGCAACGGCATAAACTATGGCAAGGGTCAATATCACTTCTTTATAAAGATATCATTCAAATGCACATGTAAAACAAGCTATGAATGTAAATTTTACATCAGAGGACATACAGATATTTCGTTAAAAAAAACAACATAAGGTCTTGATGGTAATTAAAGAACTAGAACAATCTTGAGGTAACATTTTACACCAAGGAATTGAGAGGGAAAAAAATGGTATAATTTGGTGTTCAGTTGCATATTTTGATGGCATTGTAAATTAGTACACTTTGGAAAGCAACATCATTCATAGCGACTAAAGCTTTTTTGTCTTTTGACTCAAGATACACATTCCAGGAAAATTATCCAAAGAAAAGAATTCAGAAATGTAAAAAAACTGTCCAAAGATAACTCTTTATAATATTATTTTAATACTGAAATTTAAAGACTGTGTATTGCCCAAAAGACGGGCAATTACTTTGGCTGAGGCCTCAGTAAGGGACAGAATTCCATGTCAGATTAAATGTTAAAATTACTAAGATTATGAAGCAGCATAAATACTTTTATGCCATGCTAGATGCAAAGCAGAATTTAAAACTAAATGAATATAATAAACATAATGGAATGAATACACATGATTTATTAAATCCTCAGACTCTGAGATGTTTTAGCTCTATAATTACAAAATAAACAAAAATGTAACTAATTTCTCCATGTTCATACGTTTAACAGGTAATAGACCCCTAGTATAATAGTTGGAGCGCTCACCCATCTTTTCATTTGCAATTGATCCAATTAATCACCTTTTTGTACCCCAAAGCTTACTCTCCCACATCACATATGCTTCATATAGTCAAAGAATGGGCAACACTAACCAAAAAAGGAAGTGATAGCTTCTCAAGGTTTATAGGCTCACAGTTTTTCTCCACGGCTTTTCAAAAAAGTTTTAAAACGTCCAGTTTATAATACAAAACCTGAAATTTTAGTTCAAGAGTCAGACTCAGTCCCAGCTACCTGGGAAAGGCAAGGACTGTGGGAAGCGCAGGTTTTTGAAGGCTGGCTAGTCGGCCGCCCTGTAGGAGGCGGGGCAAGTGTCGCAAAGAAAAAAAAGGAGGCGGGGGGGAACTACGCAAACCCCGCCCGTGCTGCTTTACGGCACTCGCCCCGCCTCTCCAGGTGCGCTGAAGCCGGCAAACATGGTCGACACCTACGGTTTGACTACCCTGGCAGGGTTGTTGCTCTTGCCCTTCGGCAGCTTGGCCGCTAGTCAGATCGAGGTAGGAGTCAGGCCCTTTGAACCACAGGGCCCTGCGGGGGACAGCTGTGTCGTGGCCGTGAGCGTCCAGCAGATGTCCGATACACAGCTGCGGAGGGAAGCCTCCTGAATCACCCATCAGCCTCTTACTAAGCTGACTGTGCGGTGGGGAGGGTGTCGCAGGGAACGGGAGAGGACAGTGACTGTTTGTTTCAACCTTTTAAAATGGCGAATGAAAAGAATCAAGTCCTGGGCGGCGGGAGAGGGCCTGAGCCTTTGCTCCGAAGAGCGTGCAGTCCCTAGTAGGTGAAAGGTCAGCTCTAGAGTGCCGCGCTTGCGTCCTCGCTACCAAACTACAGCGCTCTACTAGGAATCAGATGGGTACAGTGTTTTATTTTTGGCTCACACTAAGTTTTGACCAGATATAAAGCCTTTACTCTCCCCTGTACTCTGATAACACCTTCGTCCAGTTCTGCAGCCTACATCTCTAGCATCATTTTTCAGAACAGCAGACATTTGAAAATTTGTGTCCAAAGTTTTTATATTTGGACCTACCCCACCTCCTGTGGGGTTTCTCCTATGCTGGAAACCTAGGATTTAAAAAAAAAGAAATGAACTCCTCTCTTTATTTCACATTTTAATCATCACTAAATTCTGTATTCTTAATTTTTAAAATTGCTTTCACTTCTTCAGTTCCACTGGCTTGATGCAGGCCCTCGTCTTTTCTTGCCTAGACTTAGTAACCTTATCTTGTCTTCTTCAGGCTTCCAAATTCCTTCACTTTAGTCTTCATCAAAGTAAGTTTGATCAGATTATTCTTCAGATTGCATCCTTTCAGTATTTTTGCACGGAGTAAAATGTAAACATCATGATCTAGTCTCTGCCTATTTCCCAGCTTCATATAGGAGCCCATTCTCTCCACCATGTCAGACGTTGAGCTTAGACTAATGCTGAAAGCTTTTTAAATACACAACTCTACCATTTAAAAAAGAAAGCCTGCATGCTTTCTTTATATTCATGAATTATTGCTGATTTATATATTCACTATTAATGAAGTGTGTTGTCTAGATAATATAAGTATGTATAGAAATTCTATTTTTCTTATATATTCTAGCAGATTATTCTGTATACTTTGTTTTGGATATTATTGCTCTTTTTTGTAGTTACATAGTTGTGCTTTTTTACATTCTGATGTGTTATTCTTCCTGTTCCTTAGTTTGCTCATTTACTAAACTGCAGTAAAAACTAACCCCTATAAAACCTTTCCCTATTCTTTATTTTGCATTTACTGTTGTAAAGTGTGCACTTGGCTAGTATAGCACTTGTCTATCATATTATAACCCATGTATAGTTTGTACTTACTATTATTCCATCATCTTTCATTTATAGGGCAATAGCTGCCTACTTGGTCTGCCTCAGGTCATTCTTTTTTCAATTCAGTCTGTTCTCCAAGCCTCAGCCAGAGTAACTTTTAAATACACAAATCTGACCATGTCACCTATATATACCTTAATGTTGTTTTAAGGATAAAGAGCTAAATCTTGGTTATGACCCATAAACAAGCGTAGCATACTTAGACTCCTGCCTGCACCTCTGGTTCTATCTCCCCTCTCTTTAAAACTTCTAGTTATGCTAATCTTCCTTTATAGTTTCTAGAACCTTTAAGGTCCCTTCTGCTGTTTGGGTAATGTTCTCTCTGTCTGGAATTATCTTCCCTCTCTATCTGTTGAATCGTAACCCAGATTTCTCTGGAGAAACCTCCTCTGACATCCCTGCTGGGCTCCCCCTCCCATTCCCTCATCAGGTCAGATCCCCCTATTACTCTTTTATGATACTGTATATCTTACCTTTAGAGAATTTGTAGGTTGTCCTTATCTGTTTTATGTGTGTCTAGTAACCTCTTTGGAGGCAAGTACTAGCACTGTTTCACCCATTGTTGTGTTCTGAGCATTGAGAACAGTAACTGGCACATGGTACCCAATGAATGTGATGAATGAATGAATGTTATATTGTAGTGTAATGTGTTTGCATGCTTGTTTTTATTGACCTCAGGGATTCTTGAGAGAAAGCAGCATGCTTTTTAAGTGATTTTTGGATCACTGTACATTACATGGTACCTGGCACATAATAGGTGCTCCACTAACCATATGTGGATTGAATAACTTTGCAGTGTCTGTATTATCTTAACAATCACAAAAGAATTTTGACATCTCAGTTTTTTTCACTGAAGTCTTAACAATGTGAGAATTTTGGAGCTAGAAGGGACATTAGAGATTATTGGGTCAGCTCTCATTTCTGCATGAGGAAAATCAAGTCCAGAGAGCTAAATGACTTAGTCTCGTTTCACAGCCAGGTAAGGGATAGGATCTGGGCAGAAACCCAGATCTTCAGATTCCTAGCTCACTATTGCACGTTGCTTTCTTTAGCATCTATTCAACTGTTGAGAAGTTTAAAAAGAAATATATATTGGGCTGGGTTGGCCAAAAAGTTCATTCTGGTTTGTCCATAAGATGTTACAGGTATATATATAACACAAACACATGCACTCGAGTGATTTTTTTAATTTCATTCTTCCGGAAATTTTCTTCCTAGCTGAAAATTAAAAGAGCTAATATTCGTTTTGCAGTTATATTCCAGTCACCATTCCTACATTCTGTGTGTCAGATGATGCTGCCATGTTATAGATGGGGACCTGGAAGCACAGGAAGTTAAGCAGCTTTCCTAAGTTTATCCAGCTAGTAAGTAGTGGGGGCCAGGTTTGAATCCAGGCAGTCTGATTGTTCTCCTGATTAATGCTGTTTAGGAGCAGTACTCTTGCCTGGAAAACCCCATGGACGGAGGAGCCTGGTAGGCCGCAGTCCACGGGGTCGCGAAGAGTCAGACACGACTGAGCGACTTCACTTTCACTTTTCACTTTCATGCATTGGAGAAGGAAATGGCAACCCACTCCAGTGTTCTTGCCTGGAGAATCCCAGGGACGGGGGGCGCCTGGTGGGCTGCCGTCTATGGGGTCGCACAGAGTCGGACACGACTGAAGCGACTTCGCAGCAGCAGGAGCAGATCTGAGATCATTATGGTTTATATTCACTGTTATTTTAATATATAATAAAAATCATATTCATTAGGTGTCTGGATGGTATTGGATGTTTAGATTTTTAATGTTCTGTGATGGAAAATGTAAGTAAGATTTACTCTTAACAAACAGTAAAATGGTACATGGAAGTATGCCAGAGAATGTTTTCAATCAGATATATTGGTGAGTTCAAATAAAATAATAGGAAGCATTCAATATTCATTCCTATTCAGCAGGAAGGATATTGTTATGTGTAGAATCAAGACATGAAATAAGTCATTCACAATTTAAAGACTGAATGGAAAACTGGAAACATATGAGGAAGAGCTGACTGTATTTGAGATAAAATGTTTAAAAACAGTCCCTCTCACAATAACCCCCGAAATAAAATTATTTTGTCTTTCATAAAGTCAGATACTAGAATATTTATAGACTTGTGTGGTGATGACTTATTATTATTGTAACTAAAAGTTCCATGAATCTTAACTGCCCTTTATCAATCTTTATTCTGGGAAATTTGACTTTCTTCTAATCTTTTTGCTATTATTTGATTACTAGGATCAAGCAGAACAGTTCTTTAGAAGTGGCCATACAAACAACTGGGCAGTTTTGGTAAGTATTCTATAAAGGTTTACCTTGTTTACATTAGATATGTGTCTGAGAAATTTTGTGTGAATCAAATTCTTAAGAATAAAATTTATTTCTTGTAACAGAAATTATATTAAAATTATATTCTAAATTGGCCACATCAACTAATAATATTCTTTCCTTTCAGTATATCTGTCAAGTGGTGATGTATAAAAAATAGATAAGCTAGAGATCCTGTTGTTAAAGGAAGTATTTTATGAAGTATAGTGGTATTTTAATGACAGAAACTAGTAACTTACATTGAATATTTCTTATCTATAATGTTAGTTTATAGAAACTCTCTACTTTGGCTATTTTCTTAAAAATTTTTTTTTTGTTTACAAAAATAAATGATCATTGTAGAAAATTCAAGTTATACAGAAACATTTAGAAGAAGACAGACTAATTTTATGTTATTGTGATTAAATAGAATAGTAACATGTCTCATGACTCATTTTCTTGTTCAGGTTCATGACTCATTTTCTTGTTCTTCAGGAACAAATACCTTTTATATGCTACTCTCATAAGAGATTTTATAAAGGAATTGAACAAAAGCTGCTCATGATAAGAAGAGAGGTTTTAGTGATCACTTAAATTGGGCAAAATTGTGAGGTAGCAGGCCATGATCCACCAGTTTGAGAAGATAAACTTGTTTTGTAGAAAACTAAAGTGTTAGTTGCTCAGTCGTGCCTGACTCTTTGTGACCCCATGGACTGTAGCCCACCAGGCTCCTCTGTCCATGGGATTTTCCAGGCAAGAATACTGGAGTGGGTTGCCATTTCCTTCTCCAGGGGATCTTCCATACCTGGGAATCGAACCTGGGTCTACCACATTGCAGGCAGATTCTTTACTCTCTGAGCCACCAGGGAAGTGTAGGAAACTTAAGAGCACTTCCAGTTAGTCTCTCTATGGAAATTCTTAAAAGAGGGAATAACTGCCTAACAGCTAATTTCCAGAAGGCTCCTTTAGAATAGAAGACTGTTAGCTTATACCAAACACACATTAAATTCTTCCTTGTTCTGGGAACTTCCATGTTCTTGAAACTGAGCCCCTTTCTAATCTCAGCTACCTGGGTCTCCGTAGAGAAACTGAGGGTGAAAAAGAATTACCACTGAGTATTTCACAACTGCTGTTTTCATATTTGTGCAATATGTTACACATTAATGGCTTCCCTGGTGCTCAGATGGTAAAGAATCTACCAGCAGTGCTACTGCGGAGACCCGGGTTTGATCCCTGAGTTGGGAAGATCCCCTGGAGAAGGGAATGGCCACCCACTCCAGTATTCTTACCTGGAAAGTTTCATGGGCAGAGGGGCCTGGTGGGCTACAGTCTATAGGGTCACAAAGAATTGGACATGACTGAGCGACTAACACTTTTATGTGTTAACTCAGATTTACTAGAGTGAGACTTCAGTAAATTGTACTTTCTTAAATGGAAAATTATGAAATTTGACCAGGAAGGGCCAAGTTGAAAGTATAAAACATACGTTTCTCTCAATATTATTTAATTCAAATTAAATATATATACACACAAACACACACACATGTGTGTGTGTATATTCCAACGGCCTTCCCTGCACCCCCCCAACCCCGCCGCCTCAGTTTGAGTTAGTTTTAGCCTTGACTGGATGGTCAGAGGTAAATGAAATGCCCCTTTGCTCTTGTAATATGACTGAGAAAACTTGCCACTAGAGGGAGATAGAAGAAAATTGGATTCCATTTTAGTTTCAGAATCTGCTTTGAATAAAACATTTTTGTCTCTGTTTAATAAAAAAGTTATATAATCTGTACTCATGGTGAAAAAAGTAATACTGATGGGTAATGATTTTGTTTCTACCCTCTTTGGTTTTGATTTTTGCTAATATAGGCAATAGTATAGTGAAAATCCTTGAATACCTATTTTGCATGCTTCAGTTCAGTTCAGTCGCTCAGTTGTGTCTGATCCTTTGCGACCCCATGGACTGCAGTATGCCAGGCTTCCCTGTCCATCACTAACTCCTGGAGCTTACTCAAACTCATATCCATTGAGGCGGTGATGCCATCCAACCATTTCATTGTCTGGTGTCCCTTTTTCCTGCCTTCAATCATTCCCAGCATCAGGGTCTTTTCCAGTGAGTCAGTTCTTTGCATCAGGTGGCCAAAGTATTGGAGTTTCAGCTTCAGCATCAGTCCTTCCAATGAATATTCAGGACTGATTTCCTCTAGGATAGAATGGTTGGATCTCCTTGCTGTCCAAGGGACTCTCAAGAGTCTTCTCCAACACCACAGTTCAAAAGCATCAGTTCTTTGGTGCTCAGCTTTCTTTATAGTCCAGCTCTCACATCTATAGATGACTACTAGAAAAACCAAACTTTGACTAGATGGACCTTTGTCGGCAAAGTAATGTCTCTGCTTTTTAATATGCTGTCTAGATTGATCATAACTTTTCTTCCAAGGAGCAAGCATATTTTAACTTCATGGCTGCAGTCACCATCTGCAGTGATTTTGGAGCCCAAAAAGATAAAGTCTGTCACTGTTTCCACTGTTTCCCCATCTATTTGCTATGATGTGATGGGACCAGATGCCATGATGTTAGTTTTCTGAATGTTGAATTTTAAACCAACTTTTTCACTCTCCTCTTTCACTTTCATCAAGACGCTCTTTAGTCCTTCACTTTCTGCCATAAGGGTGGTGTCATCTGCATATCTGAAGTTATTGATATTTCTCCCAGCAGTCTTGATTCCAGCTTGTGCTTCATGCAGCCCAGCGTTTCTCATGATGTATTCTGCATATAAGTTAAATGAGCAGGGTGACAGTATACAGCCTTGAGTACTTCTTTTCCTATTTGGAACCAGTCTGTTGTTCCCTGTCCAGTTCTAACTGTTTCTTCTTGACCTGCATACAGGTTTCTCAGGAGGCAGATAAGGCGGTCTGGTATTCCCATCTCTTTAAGAATTTTCCAGTTTGTTGTGATCCACACAGTCAAAGGCTTTGGCATAGTCAATAAAGCAAAAATAGATATTTTTCTGGAACTCTCTCGCTTTTTCAATGATCCAGTGGATGTTGGCAATTTGATGTCTGGTTCTTCTGCCTTTTCTAAAGCCAGCTTGAACATCTGTTCAAGGCTCATGTACTGTTGAAGCCTGACTTGGAGAATTTTGAGCATTACTTTGCCAGTGTGTGAGATGAGTGCTGTTGTGTGGTTGTTTGAACATTCTTTGGGATTGCCTTTCTTTGGGATCGGAATGAAAACTGACCTTTTCCAGTCCTGTGGCCACTGGTGAGTTTTCCAAATTTGCTGGCATATTGAGCTCAGCACTTCCACAGCATCATCTTTTAGGATTTGAAATAGCTCAACTGGAATTCCATCACCTCCACTAGCTTTGTTCATAGTGACACTTCCTAAGGCCCACTTGACTTCACATTCCAGGGTGTCTGGCTCTAGGTGAGTGATCACACCATTGTGATTATCTGGATCATGAAGATCTTTTTTGAATGGTTCTTCTGTGTATTCTTGCCACCTCTTCTTAATATCTTCTGCTTCTGTTAGGTCCATACCATTTCTGTCCTTCATTGTGCCCATCTTTGTATGAAATGTTCCGTTGGTATCTCTAATTTTCTTAAAGAGATCTCTAGTCTGTCTCATTCTATTGTTTTCCTCTGTTTCTTTGCATTGATCACTGATCATTGATTTTGCATGCTTATATGAGCTAAATAAAAAAATAAGTACATTTTAAAACTTGGTATGCAAATTACCCTCTTAGAAGGTTTATATTAGTTTACCTTCCCATAAGTAGGATATGAGTGTTCATTCACCACAACCTTGCCAATAATATGAATTGTCAGGCTTTTGGATGGTTATCAATTTATGTTTTTAAAATTATGGCAGAAAATGAGCATTGTTAAAAGTTTCACTGTCCATTTTTAAGACCTTTGTTATGAAATGCTTGGTCTCATCCTTTTCCCATTTTTTAGAATGCAGTTGTTCATCTTATTAAGTTATAATTATTTCAAGTTTTTCATTTCTGTTAGGATTATATGGTACGTTTTTCTTTAATGTAGTCAACAATTTTAGTGTTTTCCTTATTGGATTCCGGGTTGAAAATTCATTGTAGTGAAAAAGGCTTGTCATTCCTTTTCACTTGCAGGGGCAAGAAGGTTTGTGATGTTATCTGTCATTACACTTAAACCTTTAGTAGAAGTATGTGATAGGAGGTAGGGTGCTTAGCAAGTAGGTACACTACCAACTAACCCCAGTCTCTGGTTTTTCCTTTGGAATAGATGCTTGAGAGGGCTGACTTCTGAGGCACTGCGTTAGATTTTCCTCGTATCCTTGGTATCTTTTTTAGGGATCATTTGTTTTTTTTTTTAAGTGTAAAGTTTGTTGGAATCATTTCTGGTTTTTTTTTCAGTTCAACAGCTTCTTTATGATGCATTCTCTTATGTGCATATAAAATCATTTTCTGTGCACTGTTTTTATCTCTATCTTACATTTTTCACAACTAAAATTAGGAAGCTATCCAGAGTGAAAGGAATAGTATATAACTCAGTGTAGTTAATTTTCTCTTCTATTCTGTGATGAGATTATGTTCCTTGTCTTGGATTCTAAAGAATTTAATATTTTAGGAATAAGAATGTTATAGGATCACATAAATTGAGAGTAACTAAGTTGATTCAGTATTTGATTAAATTCCACAAAGATTTGTTTTCTCTTAAGCCGAATAGTTTTTTAAATTTAAGACCAGTTATGAAAGACCTCTTTTTAGGGAGGTTGGTTTTATTGACAATTCTTCAGGTGCTTTGCTGTTTGTAGGCCTGATTATGATACACTTTTTAGGCATCGCTATATCCTACTTAAACAGAAATAATTTTGTAACTCTGTAGTTTATTTTGATTCCTACAAATAATATATTTGTTTTGATACTTTAGGTTTGTACCTCCAGATTCTGGTTTAATTATCGACATGTTGCAAATACTCTTTCTGTTTATAGAAGTGTCAAGAGGCTAGGTATTCCTGACAGGTAAGAATTCTTAATAAAGCTTAACCCTGAACCTCAGTGAAAATTGCCTTTAGATGACTGTTATTATATTTGTGTATTTGTGTTGTTTTTGAAAAATATAAAGTAACCTAATTTGAAGTTATTTTGTTATTGTTACAGCACACTGTCATGTATAAAGTAGTTTTAAGACTATAATGGCAAATTATATAAAACAGCAATCAATAAATACTAAGGTAGGAAGATTTAATAAAATATAATTGTTTAGTGTCCCTTATTTAATTATTCAATGCCTCAGTCTGGGTTTAATTGTAGGTAACAGAAGGCAATTCTGACTGATTCAAGTAGAAAAGGTATTTATTGAAAACATATTGATTAGTTTACCAGTTTGCTGGGAGGGTTGAGCTCTTGAAGTCAGGAACAAGAGAGACTATGTAACAGAAAAGGCGTATCTGAAAATCATAGCATAAAACCAGTCTGATGACAGGAATGGAGCCTTGAGTTGCTGAAGGCTAGACTCAGCTACCACATAGCTGCTACCGTTGCGTTTGGAAACGTAATGCTGCTACTGCTGCCACAGTCTGACCTTTGTTGTCTCAGTTTCTTACCATCTCCAGCTTTTAATTTAGAGTGCTTGATGGGAATGTCATGTTGGCAGAGCATAGATTATGTGCCCATGTCCATGCTGCAGGGGTGACAGGAAGAATGACTGTGGCATTGTTGGCTTCTGAATAGGGAGGGGGCCTCTGCCCTCTGTGAAGACTCATAAAGTGGTGTATTCCCTAATTGTATGAGGGAGCTCAGGTACTAAGCAGAGCTTCCATACCTCTACCCCCAAATATCTGTCCTCCACCTTTGGTTTTTCAGATATGGTAGATCTCTTTTAGCTACTTTGGAAGCAGTTATAGAAGAAACTGCAGTCAGTTTGGTTACCTAGGTGTGATTCATCTAGTCCTCTGGTTCCTCTCTACCATGTGAAGTGGTAAAAGTGTGGAAAAGAGCTTTGCAGTTAGATCTGAGTTTGAAATCTGGGTTCAGTGGTTCAGTGGTGATTTTGATTAGTCACTTTGCCATACTAAGCCTGTTTCCTTGGCTATTACCTGGTGATGGTACCACCTTCTTTGCAGGACTTAGGTACTTAAAGTGAATAGAAATATGTATGCAGGAGCAGAAAGGAAGCAGTGCATGACTCAAGAAACAAATTTACAGTCTATGTCAATAGATCATCTTAACCTAACAAGCTGACAACTATAGCCTATAATTGTAACTATAATTTAATTCCTGTATTTCATCTGGAAATTAAGGCATCTTGGTAATATCACTTATAAAAAGTACATTAGGTCTGAGAAAGGATGATTTGTTATATCAAGTATAAGAATTATTCTTGTCATTAGCTGATTATTATAATTTGTTCTCTTCAAATAGATGTATGTGTTTAGTCTGTTGCTTTTTAACTGCTATTTCTTCCATACCAAACGTGCTCCTCCAGGGAATTACTATGCATTATTTGGCAGTAGGTTTCACTTTGGTAAATGAGTCTTTGTCCTGTCTATTATTCATTTGTTGTTGTTTAGTTGTTAAGTCATGTCTGATTCTCTTGCAACCCCGTGGACTGTACCTGCCAGTCTGCTTTGTCCATAGGATCTCCCAGACAAGAATACTGGAGTGGGTTGCCGTTCTGTTCTCTAGGGGATCTTTCTGACCCAGGGATCAAACCCACGTCTTCTGCGTTGGCAGGTGGACCTCTTTATCCCTGAGTGACCTGGGAAGCCCCTTATAAGTCATTAGGTGTATATGTGTTTTTTTTAATGATTTAAGTTTTAGAAGGACTGAACTGTACAAAAAAGATCTTCATGACCCAGATAATCACGATGGTGTGATCACTCACCTAGAGCAGGACATCCTGGAATGTGAAGTCAAGTGGGCCTTAGAAAGCATCACTGTGAGCAAAGCTAGTAGAGGTGATGGAATTCCAGTTGAGCTGTTTCAAATCCTGAAAAATGATGCTGTGAAAGTGCTGCACTCTATATGTCAGCAAATTTGGAAAACTCAGCAGTGCCACAGGACTGGAAAAGGTCAGTTTTCATTCCAATCCCAAAGGAAGGCAATGCCAAAGAATGCTCAAACTGCTGCACAATTGCACTCATCGCACATGCTAGTAAAGTAATGCTCAAAATTCTCCTAGCCAGGCTTCAGTAATACGTGAACCAAGAACTTCCAGATGTTCAAGCTGGTTTTAGAAAAGGCAGAGGAACCAGAGATCAAATTGCCAACATCCGCTGGATCATTGAAAAAGCAAGAGTTCCAGAAAAATATCTATTTCTGCTTTATTGACTATGCCAAAGCCTTCGACTTTGTGGATCACAATAAACTGTGGAAAATTCTGAAGGAGATGGGAATACCAGACCACCTGACCTGCCTCTTGAGAAACCTTTATGCAAGTCAGGAAGCAACAGTTAGAACTGGACATGAAACAACAGACTGGTTCCAAATAAGAAAAGGAGTACGTCAAGGCTGTATACTGTCACCATGCTTATTTAACTTATATGCAGAGTACATCATGAGAGACGCTGGACTGGATGAAGCACAAGCTGGAATCAAGATTGCCGGGAGAAATATCAATAACCTCAGATATGCAGATGTTACCACCCTTACGGCAGAAAGTGAAGGAGAACTAAAGAGCCTCTTGATGAAAGTGAAAGAAGAGAGTGAAAAAGTTGGCTTAAAGTTCAACATTCAGAAAACTAAGATCATGGCATCTGGTCCCATCACCTCATGGCAAATAGATGGGGAAACAGCAAAAACAGTGGCTGGCTGACTTTATTTTTTTGGGCTCCAAAGTAACTGCAGATGGTGATTGCAGCCATGAAATTAAAAGATGCTTATTCCTTGGAAGGAAAGTTATGACCAACCTAGGCATCATATTAAAAAGCAGAGACATTACTTTGCCAACAAAGGTCCATCTAGTCAAGGCTATGGCTTTTCCAGTAGTCATGAATGGATGTGAGAGCTGGACTAAAAAGAAAGCCTTTTAAAGTAAGCTTTTAAAAAAAGTGCTGAAGAATTGATGCTTTTGAACTGTGGTGTTGGAGAAGACTCTTGAGAGTCCCTTGGACTGCAAGGAGATCCAACCAGTCCATCCTAAAGGAAATCAGTCCTGGGTATTCATTGGAAAGACTGATGTTGAAGCTGAAACTCCAATACTTTGGCCACCTGATGCGAAGAGCTGACTCATTTGAACAGTCCCCGATGTTGGGAAAGATTGAAGGCAGGAGGAGAAGGGGATGACAGAGGATGAGGTGGTTGGATGGCATCACCGACTCAATGGACATGAGTTTGGGTAGACTCCGGGAGTTGGTGATGGACAGGGAGGCCTCGCGTGCTGCGGTTCATGGGGTTGCAAAGAATGGGACATGATTGAGCGACTGAACTGAACTGAACTGAAGGTTTAAATGGTTTAAGTTTTAGAAGAATTTAAGCTTTAGAAGGACTTCTTAGAAGCAGAATATAACCATAGGGTGTATTTTATATAATAGGTTTTTCCCAGCATTTCTGAAGAATTTTCTTATTCTTGTTTCAGATGCTTTCCTTTCTATATCTTTGATTATGAAGTCTTTGTTGGGGAATGAATTTTGGATTTAGATAGTTGATGATTTGAACTATTTGTTGCTTAGTCAACAGAGATCAATGGAATAGATTCTTTTTGATTTTTAACCTATTATGGTGAATATTCTTCTTCCTGATGACTTATTCCTGCTTTACTTCTACCTGGAATTAGGTAAATTATAAGTAATTTACGATTATAAGTAAATTTTAGTCAGAAAGTAATATGCTATTATGAAATAATAGTCTGGAAACTTAAAATCAGTAAGAGCAGTTTTTAGTTTTAATGCTGGAATTTCAAAATACTGTTTGAATTTATCTTGTACTTTAATGAACATTTTTAACTTAAAGCTGTATAATCCTGTGTATCCTGAGAAAAATGACCAGTCACTGCATTGAATAAAAATTATAACTGTGTTTTGTTTACCCTGTTTGCTTTTTTAAAGGAGCATTTTGCTTTGTCTTTTAATGCAAAACATTTGCATTTAGGTTTTCCGTATACCTTCAGTAAGAAACTAGTTCATGTCCGAAGTCATTTCCCAAAACATATGATGTAGACGATTGCCCTTTATTGCAGAAGTTCACATCAATTCCTTAGAACCTGTTTGAAATATCACATTAGTTGTATCAGTACTCTTGTTCTGATTTCTCTTTGATTTTCTGTCTGTATTTCACTTACTCTGATTGTACTGAGATATTCTCTCTGCCTGGAATAGCTGTCTATATACTTCTGGCTCACTGCTCACAAAACCTGGCTGTGATTCTGAATCACTTATGGTACTTGCTGAAAATACTGATTCTTCAGCTTCACCCCTGGAGAGTCTAATTCACTAAATCTGAAGTGAATCCTAGACATCAACTTTATATGTGGTTCTGTGCATAATCAAGTTAGAAAGCACAGCTGTAGCTTTTACCTGACCTTCCAAATTCACTTTAATACTTCTTCAAAAAAGCATTTCCTAACCTTCTTGTTTGCTTTCATAGTATCCTTTGTATGTACTTTGATTATAACATGGTTAACTAATTATAGTGTCTCTGTTATTAGATTATTAACTCCTTGAAGGGAACAAGGATTATATTTTATTTCACTTTGTACTTATAGCATCCAGCACAGTGCCTGGATAGTAGGTGCTCAGTAGATGTTGGATAAATTAACTTGTGATTTGGAAATACTTTACCCAGTTCAGTTCAGTTCAGTCGCTTAGTTGTGTCTGACTCTTTGCGACCCGATGGACTGCAGTATGCCAGGCCTCCCTGCCCATCCCCAACTCCCGGAGTTTACTCAAACTCATGTCCATTGAGTTGGTGATGCCATCCAACCATCTCATCCTCTGTTGTCCTCTTCTTCTCCTGCCTTTAGTCTTTCCCAGCATCAGGGTCTTTTCAAAAGAGTCAGCTCTTCGCATCAGTTGGCCAAAGTA